GGTGTCCAGGAAGCACCAGAGGCCCCTCCCCTTAGGGCCTTGACTAGGCAGGGGGCTGCTCCCTCAGCCCCTTCTCTGGGTTTGCCTGTCCCCAAACAACTTTCCCCTGTGGGACCCAAGGGCCCAATGACACACGCTGTCTCAGGTGGCGGTGGTCAGGGAGCAGCTCAATGGGGTCTCCACTGCTGGAGCACCTCTTCAGGCCTCTCCTGCACCATTGGGTTCCTCCCTACCCTGTGCCGTGCTGTGGGCACTGAGGGCTCAGCTCCTCTCAGCTGCTGCACCACTGCTGCTGGCTTCTGGGTGCTGGGCCTCATGCTGCAGCACTGCTATTTCCCCATGCGCTGACTTCGGCACTGAGGGCTCTTTTAGCACAGGCCAGGCCCTTCAGGCTCTGGCCATCCATCCTCACACCAGGTGGCTAACCCAGGCAGGCTCTGCTGCTCCCTGGCTCCCAAGGCTCAGGCCTGTGCACCACTCTGCGCACCGTGGGACCTGGCCACTTGCCAGGAGATGGGGCCTGAGCCACCTCACTGCAGCCCCAAGGGCCTTGCCCCGTGTGCTGCCCCATGCACCATGTGGCCCGCTGGCCCTGCTGGGGTTGCAGGCTTGAGCTGCCACTTGTGGCTCCCAAAGCCTGGGCTCTGTGCAACAAACCATGCACTGTGATGGGCCCGAGCAGTCTCACACTGCTCCCAGGTCTGGGTCTCTGCACACCATCCCTGTACGCCATCAACAGCCCAAGTGGTCTTGCATCACTCCCAAGGCTGCTCCTCCAGTGGCAGCTTTAGGAGCCTTGGGCCTATTGCACACCAGGGGAGAGCTCCCCAGCTTTTCTTGGCTCTGCTCTTCTTGAGTCCCTCACCGCATCTGCCCCTCATGCTGGGCACACAGCTCCTTTTATATGCTCCAGGGCTCCACCCCTTAAGTCTTCTGGACCTGACACTTTACAGTCTTCAATCAGGTCTGAGGGAGCTCTTCTCCACCTCCTCTAAAGAAAGGGGTGTGACTGTATTTCAATTGCTGCCTCCTGATTGGTGGATGGGCTCCACCAGTCAAAACAGAAGGATCTCAAGCCTGGGACTCAACCCAAGGTCTTAAAGGTGAGCCTGCTACAACTGCAAAGAGTGAGTTAGCCCCAAGCAAGAGCAGGGGCATTTGAGTAATGCCATTCACGTCCTGAAGTACTTGATCATGAATCACCAGAATTTTGCAAATAACAAACCCTGCCTAAAAAAGCAGCAGCTTCCTCTCTTCTTCCTCCCCCCATAACAAGAAACCTTCATTCATAGCCAAGGATAGCATCCAGGCACAAACACATGATATCGTGGAAACATGTATGAGAGGGTTAAGGAGATAATGAGAGCATCAACAAGAGATGTTTACTGTGGAGTTGTCTAATTAGCTCTGGAATAAACATATTGTGTCTATACTTGCAGTGCTATTAGGCAGCAGGAAACTAATAAACTCTGCTACAGGGTAGTACTTGTAAATACAAGTACTATCTTCCTGCAGCATACTTTACTTCACAGCAAAGCGTGTGTAGATGCTGACCCAGGAGTAAATTGCTCCTGGTCAGCCCAGCCAGCAGGGGGCCACACTCCTGTCTGCTGCCTAGCCACCTGGCTTAGCAGCTGTAGGAGCCTCATGGTACAGCCAGCTTCTCCACTGCCTGATGCAACCATCCACTGCCTGGGCCTGACCCCCCTCATGCCTCCTGCAAGCCTAGGGTGGCTCCACTGCCTCCACCAGCTGGAGCCTGGGCTGACCTCCATGCCCCCTGCCAGCCTAGGGCTGGCACTCAGATAGCTGTGGCTGGAGCCTGGAGCTCCCCCCTGGCTGCTGCAGGGGGGCGGAACAGGGCAGGAGCAACCCTGGCCTAAACTGCTCCTCCCTAACTCAATTTGCTCTTGTCCTGGGCACACATGTAGATTCTGTGCCTGGGAGTAGTTTATAGGTATTAATTGCTTGTGTAGATGTGCCTAGGGAGCTCTATATTTTCCCCTTGTAACATGGCAGCCATTGGTCAATCAGGCTGGACTGACTCCAGCAGCTGCTGGCATACATGCAAACCTACTATAGTACAATGGGGATGACTGGTCAGGGC